CACAGCTCATGTTGTGTGTTTCTGTTCTCAGTCTTAGCGGAATGTAACACTTAGAACCAGGATTCTAGTGTGAATGTTCACAATTACAAATTCACAGTTCACATTCTGTGAATATTTTGCAATATTCATTTTAAAGCTGCCTGTTTCAGAAAACATTCCTGTCAGTGTATTAACTTTGTAGAATAGTCACAGAAAGCTAACACACGAAGGGGTGCGGGAATGGAAATTGTTCTGCAAGTAAAGTTTTTGCTTCTGACTGAACAGATTTCAGTCTCTCCCAAGTCATAATTAAAGGTGTTTGTTCCGGTTTTATATTTTCTCTTAAAATAATAATGTTGTTACAAACCTCCAAATACCTTATGATTTGTTATATAAAGTCTGTTTATGTTAGAAAGATTTAAAGTCCTATAAAGTCAATTTCAGTGTAAATCCAAGTATTCAGACTTGAAGTAGGTTTAGTACGATATAATATTTTCAGTTTCAAAATATGTAAACATACCTGTGATCTGATTCTCCAATGACTTGACATACTGTGGGAGTAGTTTGATTTCAATGGGGATATACACAATGCATAAAGTTAAGCAGATCCCCATGTCTTTGCAGGATAAGGGCCATAGGCACTTGTCTTTTAGAAATAAAGTCTCTGACCATAGCAACAAAATTGTGCTAGAGTCACTGAATCCCATCTTCTATATCTATACCCAGTGCAGAGATTTTGGTAATTAAAGCTGTTCTGAAAGAAGGCTTTTTTTCCTTTTATAACATAGTTTTATTTTTACACAAACAAAAAAATCATTTCCCCACACATCTGAGTGTGCGTGGGGGGGAGCAACTAAGGGTTGGAGGACCTTAATTATTAGTACTAGGTCTACTGTGAAGAGGTCTTTGTCTGATGTGTGTTTGTAGCAGTAAGAACAGTCCATTTTTGAGATGATTGTATCCAAAATTTATTATGTTCTGAAACTGTCATGCCTTAACTGCATCAGCCAGATGAGCCATTGGCTTGGAGGAACTTTGACTTTTTTCTAGGAACTAGTGCCATCTGTAGATAATGGGAACATGATAGTTTTCTACAAGTGTTTGAAAGGTGTAAACACAAAGGAAGGAGACTAATAGTTTAGGGTTGTACACTGGGATATAACCAGGTGCGATAGAATATAATTAAGAAAGAGAAAATTTAGTAATGAATGAATGGAAAAAATGGAATTTCTAAAATCCATTTGATGTGGCATATTCTTTCAAGGAAAGTGCTGTAAGCTCCATTACCTAGGACACGTATTCATATATTCCAAGGCCAGAAGGGATCATTGTGACTCTGAGCTCTGGTATAACCCAGGCCATAGGATTCCCCCCAACCCCCCCCAAAAAAAATTCCTAGAGCATATCTTTTGGAAAAACATCCAATCTTGATTTAAAAATTGTTAGTGATGGAGAATCTACCATAACCATTGGTAAATTGTGCCAGTGGTTAATTACTTTTACCATCAACAATTGATCTTATTTCCAGCCTGAACTTGTCTAGCTTCAATTTCCAGCCATTAGATCATGTTGTTCCTTTGTCCGCTAGATGGAAGAGCCCATTAGTAAATATTTGTTCCCTGTGTAGGTACTTACAGACTATAATCAAGTCACTCCTAAACCTTTGCTTTGTTAAGCTATTAGTGCCATTGTACAAGGCACTGGTAAGACCTTGTTTGGTAACTAGAATTGTATATAGTATTCCAATGTTCTAGAAAGATTAATTTAAACTGGAACAGGTGCAGAGGAGAGCGAGTAGGATGATGAGGGGAACGAAGGGCTCATTTTATGGGAAGAGGCTGGACGAGCTTGTTTAATCTAGCCAAAAGAAGGCTGAGAAAAGATATAATTGCTCTCTGTAAATATATCAGGGAGTAAATACCAGGGATGGTGAGGAGCTATTTAAGCTAAAAGACAATGTTGGCACAAGAAAAAATGGATATAAACTGGCAATGAATAAATTCAGACTGGAAACCAGAAAAAGCTGTCTAACCATCAAATTTGTTCGGTTCTGGGTCAGCCTCCCAAAAGGAGTTATGTGAGCAAACAACTTAATTAGTTTTCAGAGAGCTAGACAAATTTGAGTGGGATTGTATGATGGGATTGCTTGTGATGGCAGGGCTCAGAAGCAGTGTTCCCTTTAATTTTTCTCACATGTGTGAAATGAATTTTATGTGCACCAATATAAAGGGTATGTGTGCCACATCACCTCCATATTGATGCACATAACAAAATTCATGTAAAGGGATGGGGCCAAGGGGTTCGGAGTATGGGAAGGGGCTCAGCGCTGGGGCAGAGGGTTGTGGTGCGTGGGGTGAGGGCTCTGGCTGGTGGTGGGGCCAGGAATGAGGGGTTTGTGGTGCAGGCTGCCCTGGGGCTATGGTGGCATATCCCCCCCAGCTCTCTCTCCCTGCAGCAGCAGCAGCACCTGGGCTGGGGGGGATAGGCGCCTCTCCCCCTGCTGTGGCAGTTCCAGAGCTGTGGCTGGGTTGGGGCTGGGGAAGGAGAGCCTCCCCCCCCCCCCCCGCCACGGCAGGTCTAGGCTGGGGCTGGGTTGGGGCCAGGGGAGGGGCGCCTCTCCCCCAGCCGCGGCAGGTCCAGGTTGGGTTCGGGCTGGTGGAGGGACACCTATTTTCTGCCCACAGCAGCTCCAGGGCTGGGCTGGGGCCAGCAGGGAGAGGCGTCTCTCCCCCGGCTGCAGCAGGTCCGGGGATGAGGGAGACACGCCTTTCCCCCCCGCAACCTGAGTGCCTGTGCCATGCTTAATAGGCTACTGTGCACATGGCCACGCAGCTTAGGGGGAACTGAGCTCCGCAGCCATGTGTTCCTAAAAGCTCATACTTCAGGGTTTTAGCTGGCTTCTTGCAGGGGTCAGGAAGGAATTCCCCCTTCCCCTGCCCCATTCTGTTTTTGTTTTTTTAATCTCCTTCCTCAGAAGCATCACGGATGGCCACGGCTGTATATGGGACATTGCATGGAGTAGGACAGACTGCTGAGGTGGTACAGAGAATTCTCTCTCAGGTCCTTGCCTGGCTGGTTCTTGCTCACATGCTCAGGGTCTAACTCGGGGGGGGCGGCAAACTTTTTGGCCTGAGGGCCACATTGGGGTTCCAAAACTGTATGGCGGGCCGGGTAGGGAAGGCTGTGCCTTCCCAAACAGCCTGACCCCCGCCCCCATCTTCCCCCTCCCACTTCCCGCCCCCTGACTGCCCCCCACAGAACACCTGACCCATCTGTGGCTAGTAATACTTGGCTCTAATTTAAGTTGTTGGGCTTAATGTGTGGGTGCTAGTGGCCTGTGTTATACCAAGTAGATGATCTAGTGGTCCCTTCTGGCCTTAAACTTATTGACTGTAAGGTAGATATAATGAGCTCCTTGACTATCATTATAAGGATCAGAAAACATCTTTAATCATTCTTGTTGATGTTCTCTGAACCCTCTCCAATTTATCAGTACCCTTACTGAATTTTGGGTACCAAAACTGGATGCAGTATTCTAGCACAGAAGTTTTCAAACTTTTTTTTCTGGCGACCTAGTTGAAGAAAATTGTTGACGCCTGCGATGCAATGGAGCTGGGGATGAGGGGTTTGGGGTGTGGAAGGGGCTATGGGCTGTGGCAGAAGATTTGAGGTGCAGGGGTGAGGGCTGCGGCTGGGAATGAGAGGTTCAGGGTTGGGGGGGCTCTGGGTTGGGGCAGGGGGTTGGGGTGTGGGAGGGGGTCAGGGCTCTGGGCTGGGGGTGCAGGCTCTGGGGTGGTGCCGGGGATGAGGGGTTTGGGGTGCAGGAAGGGGCTCCAGGTTTGGGGGGGCTCCAGGGGATTGGGGCACTGGCTTACCTCCAGCGGCTCCCAGTCAGCGGTGCAGTGGGGCTGCCAAGAAAGCAGAAGCAGCCAGCAGCAGGTCTGGCTCCTAAGCGGAGGCGTGCAAGAGGCTCTGCACGGCTCTTGCCTGCAGGCACCACCCACCCTCAGCTCCCATTGACTGGTTCCTGGCCAATGGGAGTGCGGAGCCAGTGGTCAAGGTGGGGGCAGCGCATGGAGCACCATGGCCCTCCCACCTAGGAGCCAGACCTGCTGCTGGCCGCTTCCAGGGCGCAGCGCGGTTTCAGAACTGGTAGGGACTGGCCTGCCTTCGATGGGCAGCATTGGCGACAGGACTTTTAATGGCCCGGTTGGTGGTGCTGACCAGAGCTGCCGCCACCCAGTGCCTTACATTCCATGACCCAGTACTGGGTCACGACCCGCATTTTGAAAACCACTGTTCTAGCAGCAGTCACAACGGTTCTGAATACAAAGGTATAAACTCTTCTCAACTTGAGGTTTCCCTGTTTATGCATTCTGGAGATAGCATTAGCTCTTTTGGCAACAACATTGCACTGGGACTTCCTGTGCAGCTGATCATTCACCATGACCCCCAAATCTTTTTCAGAGTCACTGCTTCACAGGATAGAGTGCCCCATCATGTAATTCTGGCCTACATTCTTTCTTCCTAAATGTATACATTTATATTTTAGCCATTTTGAAACACAGATTGGTGAATTGGGCTCAAGCAAACAATCACTCTGTATTAGTGACCTGTCCTCTTCATTATTTACCACCTCCCCAATTTTTGTGTCCTGTCCAACCTTACCAGTGATTATTTATATTGGACTGGAAAATGTAGAACAAAATATATTGTGGAGAACAATTCTGTGCTATCAGGTATTGGACTAGATGATCTAATAGATCTTTTCTACCTTGGACTTGTATGCTTCTACTTAAGAGTGAAAGAAGAATAGCTAATATTGGATATGCTCGCCTGTATGTAGGTAGAGTTGTAGAGCATAATTGTAGAGGCCATGTCTTCATCCTACAAGAATGAAGTTTTCCTCTTGGCATTACTGATACACTGTTTTATTTTGGACAGCTCTTAGAGACAGTTTATTCAGGTCCATTCTTGTTTAAACACAACACTGAGTTTTCTTTTATTTCTATTGGTTTTAGAGAGAAGAATCCAATATTGGACCGTCTTAGACACGCTCAGTGCAGCTTCAGAGAGCAGTTTGGTTTATCTAACCTGAAGAGGAAGCATATGGACAACAAGCCAAGAGGACATGGGCTTGCAGTGCACTTGGAAAAATGATCAGGCATCAGAACTGGTTTGTATCTAACTTGTGATAAGAATGTGAATAACTTCAACAGATATAAATTCAAAGAGCGCAATTTTCTGCAAGTGCAGTCTTTAATTACCAGGTATATCATCTTCTCCTTCTTAAATAATGGCCACCTCCCATTCCTCCTGTACATAGACATGTCTAATATGTAAATTGCATACTTGTGTTACTATGAGCTATAGTGCACCTGGCTGGGGCTCAGTTCTGATGGGACTCATTTGGTGTGGATAGGGAGGGACAAGAATTTAAAGGGTGCCCAAAGCCTATGGGTACACTTTCAACTGAAGGTTTTTGTCTGGTCTTTTCAAATACAACTTGAACTTTCTGGGCCATTTTGATCCATCGCTGATCATGGATTCTCATGGGACAGCTTTGGGATGTCGTTCATTTTTCGTTTTCACTTTTCCTGGAAGCTGACTACTTTTCTCTAACCATTCTTTGTCACAGTAAGGGTATGTCTACACTACGGAATTAGGTCGAATTTATAGAAGTCGACTTTTTTAGGAAGCAATTTTATACAGTCGATTGTGTGTGTCCCCATTAAGTTGGCGGAGTGCATCCATAGTACTGTGGCTAGCGTCAACTTTCGGAGCATTGCACTGTAGGTAGCTATCCTATAGTTCCCGCAGTCTCCGCTGCCCATTGGAATTCTGGGTTAAGCTCCCAATGCCTGATGGGACCAAAACTTTGTCGCGGGTGGTTTTGGGTACATGTCGTCAGTCGCCCCTCCCTCCGTGAAAGCAACAGCAGACAATCATTGCGTGCCTTTTTTTCATGCGGATGCCATACTGCTTTCAGCAGACGGTGCAGTAGGACTGCTAACTGTCATTGAACCACCGCATCTGCTGCAACTCTGCTCTCCTGGTCCCATGAATCCACCTCGCAGGTCCTCTATATGACCGTTGTCATCCACCGCTTCTGCTGCAACTCTGCTCTCCTGCTCTTGTCTTGATAGAAAATGTCTCCATATTGGATGTCATGGGCTCCCGCTTCTGCTGCAACTCTGCTCTCCTGAATCCACCTCGCAGGTCCTCTCGTCGTTCTCTATAAATATCTACTCTCGTGGCATCCGTCGTCAGCCACTACTTCCGCTGCAACTCAGCTCTCCTGCAGACACCATCTCGTGGCAAGCATGGAGCCCGCTCAGATCACCGCGGCAATTATGAGCATTGTAAACACCTCGTGCATTATCCTGCAGTATGTTCAGAACCAGAACCTGCAAAGGCAGGCGAGGAGGCGACAGCAGTGCGGTGACAAGAGCGATGAGGACATGGACATAGACTTCTCTCAAAGTACGGGCCCTGGCAATTTGGACATCCTGGTGGCAATGGGGCAGGCTCATGCCGTGGAATGCCGATTTGGGGCCCGGAAAACAAGCACAGACTGGTGGGACCGCATAGTGTTGCAGGTCTGGGATGATTCCCAGTGGCTGCAAAACTTTCGCATGTGTAAGGGCACTTTCATGGAACTTTGTGACTCGCTTTCCTCTGCCCTGAAGCGCAAGAATACCAAGATGAAAGCCACCCTCACAGTTCACAAGCGAGTGGCGATAGCCCTCTGGAAGCTTGCAACGCCCGACAGCTACCGGTCAGTCGGGAATCAATTTGGAGTGGGCAAATCTACTGTGGGGGCTGCTGAGATCCAAGTAGCCAGCAGAATCACTGAGCTGCTGCTATCAAGGGTAGTAACTCTGGGAAATGTGCAGGTCATAGTGAATGGTTTTGCTGCAATGGGATTCCCTAACTGTGGTAGGGCAATAGACAGAACGCATATCCCTATCTTGGGACCGGACCACCTTGGCAGCCAGAACGTAAACCGCAAGGGGTACTTTTCAGTGGTGCTGCAAGCACTGGTGGATCACAAGGGACGTTTCACCAACATCAACGTGGGATGGCCAGGAAAGGTACATAATGCTTGCATCTTCAGGAACTCTGGTCTCTCTGAACAGCTGCAACAAGGGACTTACTTACCAGACCAGAAAATAACCGTTGGGGATGTTGAAATGCCTATAGTTATCCTTGGGGACCCAGCCTACCCCTTAATGCCATGGCTCATGAAGCCATACACAGGCACCCTAGAGAGTAGTCAGAAGCTGTTCAGCTATAGGCTGAGCAAGTGCAGAATGGTGGTAGAATGTACATTTGGAAGTTTAAAAGTGCGCTGGTGCAGTTTATTGACTCGGTTAGACCTCAGCGAAACCAATATTCCCATTGTTATTGCTGCTTGCTCCACAATATCCGTGAGAGTAAGGGGGAGACGTTTATGGTGGGGTGGGAGGTTGAGGCAAGTCGTCTGGCCGCTGATTACGCGCAGCCATACACCACGGTGATTAGAAGAGCACAGCAGGGTACACTGCGAATCAGAGAAACTTTGAAAACCAGTTTCATGACTGGCCAGGCTATGGTGTGACAGTTCTGTTTGTTTCTCCTTGATGAAAACCCGCCCCCTTGGTTCATTCTACTTCCTTGTAAGCCAACTGCCTTCCCCCCTTGATCACCGCTTGCAAAGGCAATAAAATCATTGTTGTTTCAAATTCATGCATTCTCTATTAATTCATCACACCAATAGGGGGATAACTGCCAAGGTAGCCCGGGAGGGGTGGGGGAGGAAGGAACCGGGTGGGGTAGTGGATGAGGGGAGGAGGGAAGGACAAGGCCACACTGCACTTCAAAACTTATTGAATGCCAGCCTTCTGTTGCTTGGGCAGTCTTCTGGGGTGGAGTGGTTGGGTGCCCAGAGGGCCCCCGCCACATTCTTGGGCATCTGGGTGAGGAGGTTATGGAACTTAGGGAGGAGGGCGGGCGGTTACACAGGGGCTGCAGTGGCAGTCTATGCTCCTGGTGCCTTTTCTGCAGCTCAACCATACGCCGGAGCATATCAGTTTGATTCTCCAGTGGCCAAACAGGAAATGAAATTCTAAAGTCCCCGGGGCTTTCCTGTCTACCTGGTTAGAGCATCTGAGTTGAGAGTGCTGTCCAGAGTGGTCCCAATGAAGCACTCTGGGATAGCTCCCAGAGGCCAATACCGTCGAATTGCATTCATACTACCCCAAATTCTACCTGGCGATGTTGATTTCAGCGCTAATCCCCTCATCAGGGAGGAGTACAGAAATCGATTTTAAGAACCCTTTAAGTCAACAAAAATGGCTTCATCATGTGGACGGGTGCAGGGTTAAATTGATCTAACGCTGCTAAATTCAACCTAAGCTTGTAGCGTAGACCAGGGCTAAGTCATAAGAACAAATAGTCATGCCTTTTTAACTTCAGAAATATGGTTACTGGTGAAGAGGACTCTGAATCTTCAGCTAGTGTAGAATATAGTGGCTCATTTCTTGAGATGAGCAAATAACACCAGTGCTCTGTGATTTACATTGGCTATTTGTTTCTGGAGCAGCTCAAGGTGTTTGTTTATAATCTGTAAAGTCCTAAATGGCCTCATATGCAATTACTGGAGAGAGCTGTTCTGCCACAGGTATTGAGATCTTCTGGGTCATTCTGGCTGTTTGTTTCAGAGTTGAAGCATGCCACAGCCAGTGGAAATGCATTGTCCTAGTCACATGGAAAGAGAAAATGCAACGGATGTGGATTTATTAGGCTGCAGCTTTATTTCTTAACTCATCTGGGAACTAAATGGCAATAGTTTGTACAGTGATTCCTTCCTTAATCATTTCTACCTGGTGGAGAGCTGCCGTCAGCCCCCCATTCCTCCACAGCTAGTCCTAGCCTGGTGCTGGTACCCCAGCACCTTCCTCTCATATAAGGGTTAAGGGGCTGAGGAAATGGGGTTATCTCCTCACTGTGCCAGACATTAGGAACCCCAATCCCGTTCCCCAGCTTCTTTAGGAGATGCATTCCTCCTAAGTCCCTTTCCAATTCATCAAGGAACTGTACTACCTACGGAACGTGAACTTCCACTGGATGCCTGTCACCTGGTAAATTGCAACAACTTGAACCTTACATCCTGACCTACCCCACCGAGTCCCTGAGCTGCTGTGGGGAAGGCGAAACCAAAAATAAACAAACCCACCCTGTGCTGGCCAGACTGGTGGTGAGGGAAAAATTTCTTCCCAGTCCCCAAAGAGGCGATTAATGCAATAGCTCAGCGGTTCTCCAACTGTGGGTCAGGACCCCAAAGTGGGTCATGACCTGTTTTAATGGGGTTGCTGGGGTGGCATTAGACTTGCTGGGATGGAAGTCGAAGCTTGAGCCCCATTGCCCAGGGCCAAAGCCCAAGCCCGAGGGCTTTAGCCCTGAGTGGTGGGGCACAGGTTACAGGCCCTCTGCCTGGGGCTGAAGCCCTTGGGCTTTGGATTTGTTCCCCCATATCTGAGGTGGTGGGGCTCTGGCTTTGGCGGGATTCAGGCGGGCTCAGGCTTCGGTCCCCCATCCTGGGGTTGTCTAGTAATTTTTGTTTTCAGAAGGGGGTGGTGTGCAATTAAGTTTGAGATCTCCTGCAATCCTTGCAACATACCAGAAAACCTGGTCCTATTGCTAATCCCAGGAACAGGACGGCGGGAGACACTAATGGGGTGTGAGAGCAGGCTCAGTCTGGAGGGACAGAGTTTTTATATATCCTTCCATATATGTGCAGGGCCAATGGGTTACTTGATTCCCACTGGCCTGTCCATTAGCTCAGGTGATGCCTTCCCTTCCCTTCCTCCCTCCCTCCCCCCAGCCACTCTCTTCACCATCTGAGGGAAAAGAGACCCTTAAAGGAATCACTACCCTTTTTTCCCCACCAGTCCAGACAAAGCTCCCCACCTTGAGTTTCTGCAGGTTGAATGGTCTGTGGAGGGCCTGTGTATCTGGAACTTCCTGCCTCCAGCATTCCCGTTTGGTAAACTTCAGGTGTGATGTGAGGCCTATTTGTTTGGCTACGCTAGTGGCTCATTTCTTTATGGGTGGGGGTATTTATTAGCAAGCAGATTTACAATTGTTTTTCTGGATGTAACAGGCCACGATGATGTGGTTGTGGGCATCAGTGAG